GTTTCCCTAAACCCCTTCATAAATGTTACTTTGCTCACACTCCAACAGCACGTCAAGTATTAAAAACCATTTGTCTCCATTCACTCCTATCAAACACGCTCATGCATACCTGCTGGAAGTCCAAGCCCCTCGCACACAAAATCTCCTTTACCCCCTCTCTCCAACCTTTCCTAGGCCGACCCCTACCCCGCCTTCCTTCCACTACAGACTGATACACTCTTGAAGTCATTCTGTTTCGCTCCATTCTCTCTACATGTCCGAACCACCTCAACAACCCTTCCTCAGCCCTCTGGACAACAGTTTTGGTAATCCCGCACCTCCTCCTAACTTCCAAACTACGAATTCTCTGCATTATATTCACACCACACATTGCCCTCAGACATGACATCTCCACTGCCTCCAGCCTTCTCCTCGCTGCAACATTCATCACCCATGCTTCACACCCATATAAGAGCGTTGGTAAAACTATACTCTCATACATTCCCTTCTTTGCCTCCAAGGACAAAGTTCTTTGTCTCCACAGACTCCTAAGTGCACCACTCACTCTTTTTCCCTCATCAATTCTATGATTCACCTCATCTTTCATAGACCCATCCGCTGACACGTCCACTCCCAAATATCTGAATACATTCACCTCCTCCATACTCTCTCCCTCCAATCTGATATTCAATCTTTCATCACCTAATCTTTTTGTTATCCTCATAACCTTACTCTTTCCTGTATTCACCTTTAATTTTCTTCTTTTGCACACCCTACCAAATTCATCCACCAATCTCTGCAACTTCTCTTCAGAATCTCCCAAGAGCACAGTGTCATCAGCAAAGAGCAGCTGTGACAACTCCCACTTTGTGTGTGATTCTTTATCTTTTAACTCCACACCTCTTGTCAAGACCCTCACATTTACTTCTCTTACAACCCCATCTATAAATATATTAAACAACCACGGTGACATCACACATCCTTGTCTAAGGCCTACTTTTACTGGGAAATAATTTCCCTCTTTCCTACATACTCTAACTTGACCCTCACTATCCTCGTAAAAACTCTTCACTGCTTTCAGTAACCTACCTCCTACACCATACACTTGCAACATCTGCCACATTGCCCCCCTATCCACCCTGTCATACGCCTTTTCCAAATCCATAAATGCCACAAAGACCTCTTTAGCCTTATCTAAATACTGTTCACTTATATGTTTCACTGTAAACACCTGGTCCACACCCCCTACCTTTCCTAAAGCCTCCTTGTTCATCTGCTATCCTATTCTCCGTCTTACTCTTAATTCTTTCAATAATAACTCTACCATACACTTTACCAGGTATACTCAGCAGACTTATCCCCCTATAATTTTTGCACTCTCTTTTATCCCCTTTGCCTTTATACAAAGGAACTATGCATGCTCTCTGCCAATCCCTAGGTACCTTACCCTCTTCCATACATTTATTAAATAATTGCACCAACCACTCCAAAACTATATCCCCACCTGCTTTTAACATTTCTATCTTTATCCCATCAATCCCGGCTGCCTTACCCCCTTTCATTTTACCTACTGCCTCACGAACTTCCCCCACACTCACAACTGGCTCTTCCTCACTCCTACAAGATGTTATTCCTCCTTGCCCTATACACGAAATCACAGCTTCCCTATCTTCATCAACATTTAACAATTCCTCAAAATATTCCCTCCATCTTCCCAATACCTCTAACTCTCCATTTAATAACTCTCCTCTCCTATTTTTAACTGACAAATCCATTTGTTCTCTAGGCTTTCTTAACTTGTTAATCTCACTCCAAAACTTTTTCTTATTTTCAACAAAATTTGTTGATAACATCTCACCCACTCTCTCATTTGCTCTCTTTTTACATTGCTTCACCACTCTCTTAACCTCTCTCTTTTTCTCCATATACTCTTCCCTCCTTGCATCACTTCTACTTTGTAAAAAACTTCTCATATGCTAACTTTTTCTCCCTTACTACTCTCTTTACATCATCATTCCACCAATCGCTCCTCTTCCCTCCCGCACCCACTTTCCTGTAACCACAAACTTCTGCTGAACACTCTAACACTACATTTTTAAACCTACCCCATAAATCTTCGACCCCATTGCCTATGCTCTCATTAGCCCATCTATCCTCCAATAGCTGTTTATATCTTACCCCAACTGCCTCCTCTTTTAGTTTATAAACCTTCACCTCTCTCTTCCCTGATGCTTCTATTCTCCTTGTATCCCATCTACCTTTTACTCTCAGTGTAGCTACAACTAGAAAGTGATCTGATATATCTGTGGCCCCTCTATAAACATGTACATCCTGAAGCCTACTCAACAGTCTTTTATCTACCAATACATAATCCAACAAACTACTGTCATTTCGCCCTACATCATATCTTGTATACTTATTTATCCTCTTTTTCTTAAAATATGTATTACCTATAACTAAACCCCTTTCTATACAAAGTTCAATCAAAGGGCTCCCATTATCATTTACACCTGGCACCCCAAACTTACCTACCACACCTCTCTAAAAGTTTCTCCTACTTTAGCATTCAGGTCCCCTACCACAATTACTCTCTCACTTGGTTCAAAGGCTCCTATACATTCACTTAACATCTCCAAAATCTCTCTCTCTCCTCTGCATTCCTCTCTTCTCCAGGTGCATACACGCTTATTATGACCCACTTCTCGCATCCAACCTTTACTTTAATCCACATAATTCTTGAATTTACACATTCATATTCTCTTTTCTCCTTCCATAACTGATCATTTAACATTACTGCTACCCCTTCCTTTGCTCTAACTCTCTCAGATACTCCAGATTTAATCCCATTTATTTCCCCCCACTGAAACTCTCCTACCCCCTTCAGCTTTGTTTCGCTTAGGGCCAGGACATCCAACTTCTTTTCATTCATAACATCAGCAATCATCTGTTTCTTGTCATCCGCACTACATCCACGCACATTTAAGCATCCCAGTTTTATAAAGTTTTTCTTCTTCTCTTTTTTAGTAAATGTCTACAGGAGAAGGGGTTACTAGCCCATTGCTCCCGGCATTTTAGTCGCCTCATACGACACGCATGGCTTACGGAGGAAAGATTCTTTTCCACTTCCCCATGGACAATAGAAGAAATAAAGAAGAACAAGAGCTATTTAGAAAAAGGAGAAAAACCTAGATGTATGTATATATATATGCATGTGCGTGTCTGTGAAGTGTGACCAAAGTGTAAGTAGGAGTAGTAAGATATCCCTGTTATCTAGCGTGTTTATGAGACAGAAAAAGAAACCAGCAATCCTACCATCATGCAAAACAGTTACAGGTTTCTGTTTCACAGTCATCTGGCAGGACGGTAGTACTTCCCTGGGTGGTTGCTGGGTGGTTGCTGTTAGATGAATTGTGATAGAGAAATAAGCCGTACAGTTGATAATAGTGTCATATTGAAGTACTATTCTGTCATGCCTCCTGACAGGAGGAACGGATTAATTGGATTTCCATTATTTCTTATGGGGAAAATTAAATCGGATAACGATAAAATCGGTTAAGGGCAAGCTCTCTGGAACGGATTAATATCGTTAACTGAGGGTCCACTGTATTTATTATGGTTAATTAACAAAAAGTATATAAACAAAAGCTATAATTACTTTATAATAAAAATATTTAGGGGTTAAGTAAAATAGGGCATTTGGAGTTGACTATAATAAAGTACATGTATATGTTTACCCTTTATGCCAGACAAATGAGTGCACAATACTGTTCAATATTATTTTAACTGATAATATTGTTATCATGCAGGAAACAGAAAAAGTAATTATAGAAATTAATTACTAATATTTGATTTTACATAGAAATAAAAAGAGCAAGATCATCATAATTGCATAACTTTTTTTATTATGGTCAAGTATATCCAATGATGCCAAATAAATAGATACAAAATAAATTACAGTACCATGGCAGAAACAATTCACAACCTACCCATTAACTGGAGATGAACCTAGATGACATTTTGGAAAATTGACAAAATTATGCTCTCGCAAAGTTAGCGACCTCGGTGATATTTACAAATCGGCAATTTCACCCACTTTGAACCCTATTTTCGGCTAATTCCATTATTCCAGTTGACCAAACTCATAGCTATTTCTTTAGAACTCCATTTTTTCTATCGATTAAGTACAAGAAATTGCCCATTTACTGATTTCAACTACCCAATAGCGTGGTCAGAAATTTGCAATTTGGCCAATTTCACGAAAATTAAAAAATATGACAATTTCAAAATAGGTCCAGAATGAACAATGCAGACATTCCTGACTCTAAAATAACATTTTCTTTGTTCATTAGTCATATCTCCAGGTCCCTCTGATATTACTCTTGATTTCTATTTTGAATTTTTATTCAAACAAAAAATAGAAGATTTACTGTTATGCAGACTACTGCAATACTGTAATAATTGTACAAATAATGTCAACCCATTCATGACTTCATATTAGAATGGCTAGTTGGACATTTATTGGACAATGACATCATTTGTTTACTTTTGAACATCGGCAAAACTCAAACATTTCCCCTACTTTGAGCTCCATTTCCAGGTTCTTTTTATAGTAAAACCAATCAAAATCACATCTATTTCTATATGTTTTCCATTCTGTCAAATGAGACCAAGAAAACGAGAATACAACCATAAAACTTTACGAAAATAGACCACAAAGTTGGCATTTTAATTAAAAAAAAAACGTTCAGTTTTTTTCTCATTATGCACTGCATGCTCCAGGATTTTTTTTTATATGGTGCACACTGACCACACAGACCCATTCTCTCATATGTGGGCCTACCAGCTTTCTCCTGCTTGATATGAAGCCGCAAGAATTTATGAGTATATATACGTCAAACACGGTACCTCGTAAGACGTATATATACGACCGAAACAGTCAAAGGGTTAAAAGAGCAGTATATATAAATTACTTTAAAAAAAGAACTAACAGTAATTAGTACACTGTACTACATTGCAACTACCTGCATGAACATAGAAACAGCAGCAATAAAGCCCATCACAAGGAAAAGTAGGGCATACAAATCAGCTTCTCTCCTAGCTTCATCTGGCTCAGCAATTGAAAGTGTCTGCAAACAAACAGAAAGCATTATCATTAATCCTGACTAATAGTAAGGCATGATATATCATTTATTTACTACTTTTTCACAGATTCTATGTAGAGCAGTTTCTTTTAAGCATACAAGTACCATAATCTTTGTGTCACAATATTCTGGCATAAAACTTCTGAAATATTAAAAAATATTTTTCCATTATGGCTCCCTTCAATCTGATTATTTCAAGCAGTGCAATGGATTCCCCCAGCCAGGCCCATGCATTCCCAGATGGGTAAAAACTGCCAAGGTTTACACTTTTCGAAATGTGTGAGAAAAGTGAGGTAAATTTGCTTCCTAGTCACTGTACAGTTATGTACTTGTTTTGAAACCCAGTTGTAAGTAATGTCATATGACATTTACAAAACATGTTCCTTGCCACACTTCAATGCTATATTACAATTTTTCTATGCTAACATCTGTTCCAAAAAGAACATCATGTGCTGAAGATTTCAGTCGTGCAGGGCAAAGAATAAGCAATATAGGTTAAATTAATAATGGCAAATTCAAACAAAAGCTTCATGCCAAAAATGAATTGCCTAAAAGCTTACAGCATCCAGTAAATATAATGAATGCAATTTTAAACATTTTGTAGCTGTTTTTTATTTTGAGTCACAAGTACTAGTCTAAAAGCTCACATGATCTTATTGTTTAAATGCCGTTATACTGGCATTAATACTGAAATTCATAACAAGAAACAAATTGAAGTGTACAGGCCAAGTAAATCTCTTGAGCATTTTAAGAAAAAAAAAAATGGATGGCTGGCTATACCTTTGTTTTATGTGTCAAGAATGTTGTGCTGAAAGTTCATGTGGCTGTATTCCCTTAAATATTGGTCTAATAGGTTAAATACAATATTGTAATCAAATTCTATATGAATTCTTGGTTAAAGTGAAAGACTGTAGTAGTGTGAAGGGAAAGATGACCACATTTTGCCTCTTACCATAATGACAAGAAGTTAACCATAGCTGCTGAGTGCTCCTGTACGGCATTTGCCTTTTCATTTGTGTTGAACTGAATTTGTTGTGCTACCATAATTTAGAAAGAATTGGTACACATTTCATATATCTGTTTTTTTCAGAAATGCATCTGTAAGTTAGCAGTTAAGATAAATGATATAGACAATTAGAATCATTCCATTAGTGCTTATAATATTGCAAATTAGAGATTTTTTTACCTTTTGAAGCAAGTAGGAGATTAATTTTTTCAACAGGTTCCAAAATTTTGGTCCTCTGATTCGCATAGTGTGTTTCCTCAACTTAAGTTGTACATGTGCAATATCTAAGAGGTATTTATTTCTAGTGTTACATCTGTGTGCTTTGTTTTACTATGTATGCCTAATACCGAATCTTTCGTAATTTAAATAGATAATTTGCAAGTTAAAAAACTTAGTTTCAATCTATGACAATTCTGCAAGATTTAGTTAGTTCCCGTAACATATTAAGAACTTACCCCAAGCACCTCACCAAAAAGAACAGCATAGGCTGGCATAATTACTCCCTGCATAGCTGACCCTATCACCCCACCAACAATATATGGCCATTCTGAAGAATTCATTTTCAGAATCTTCAAGGTTGAAACAGATTCAAAAGGTTCTTCTTCCTCTTCCTGCTCCTGAAACATTAATAGTTTAAATGAAAAAATGAGGTAATCTTTAGAGAAAGTTACAACTTTAGTATAAGAATTTCAATTCCTTTCTCAAATAATTTCCTTAAGTACTCCTGTAAGTAAAACATACCTCTATCTTATTTTTGTCTACATTCTTCTCACTTTTAACAGAGGCTCTTCGTCGGCGTTGAGAATACCTGGTGGACAGACTGCGTACCAAAGCAGTTGGGGCCATGTTAGCTAAATCATCCATGATATCTTGACTAATTTCAGTTAAACTTTCGGTGTCATAGGCAGTCTTAGCCACAGATGATACCATTTCCTTGTTTTCTAATAAGGAAAATTGAAAAACATTATAATATTAAAACTTAATATTTTTTTTTTAAATACCAAGTTAGGGTGACCCAAAAAAGAAGGAGCACTTTTACCATTACTCACTATCACTCTCTTGCCAGAGGTCTGCCAGCACTACATCACAAATGCCCCTCGAAACTGCAATATCCCCACCCTTCCTTCAGAGTGCAGGCACTGTACTTCCCACCTCCAGGATTAAAGTCTGGATAACTAGTTTCCTTGAATTCCTTCATAAAGGTTACCATACTCACACCCCCAACAGCATCTCAAGTCATAAACACCACTCACCTCCACTTACTTCTCTAACATGTTTACCTAATACATATAAACTAAATGTAATGCTGGTTAATTAAGATGTTTTGTGGAAATCATGCAATTCATATCCAAGCCAAAGATTATTTTATGACTAGCCCACAGTATTGTTAATTTATAATATAATTTGTAATATGCAAATCTATAAAAATTTGTATTTTTTTTTTTCAACATACTGGCCATCTCCCACTGAGGCAGGAAAAGATGAAAACTATAAAGTTTCTTCTTTTTACATTTAATAATTTAAACAGGGGTTACTAGCCCCTTGCCCCTGGCAAAAATTTATCTTGAGTACTATGTATGTACTACACTAGGGCAAAGAGCACATCTAGACTGATTCCCAGGTTGAGAAAATCAAACTATGAAGAAAAAATGCAAGAGCTCTGCTTCTTGTCTCGGGAAACATGAATAGGAGTGGTTAGTATGACAATATATATATGCACAATGATTAGGACTGATACAGTAGACAATGAAAGTGCAAACAGAATGAACCAACCCCAAAAAGCAGGAAAGCTAGCAGAGCCAGATATGATTATCTTATGATAATAATATGTATAATAATAATAATAATAATAATAATAATAATAATAATAATTATTATAATAATAATCCTGTTGCTGTTGGAGTGCAGGCAGGGTAATATTTTGTGAAGGGACTCAGGGAAACTGGTTAGCTGGACCTGAGTCCTGGAAATGGGAAGTATAATGCCTGCATTTTAAAGGAGGGGTTTGGGATATTGGCAGTTTGGAGGGACTTCTAAACTGTCGTATCTGAGCCTCTGTAAAGACAGTGATTATGTATGAGTGAGGTGAAAGTGTTGAATGATGAAAGTATTTTCTTTTTTGGGATTTTCTTTCTTCCTGGGTCACCCTGCCTTGGTGGGAGACAATTGACATGTTGAAAAAAAAAATCCTAGGTAGTAGGCTGGTAGACAGCAACCGCCCAGGGAGGTACTACCATCCTGCCAAGTGAGTAAAACGGAAAGCTGTAATTGTTTAACACGATGGTAGGATTGCTGATGTCTTTTTCCTATCTCAAACATGCAAGATTTCAGGTACATATTCTTGCTACTTCTACTTACACTTGGGTCACACTACACATTCGTGTACAAGCATATATATACGCACCCCTCTGGGTTTCCTTCTATTTTCCTGCTAGTTCTTGTTCTTGTTTATTTCCTCTTATCTCCATGGGGAAGTGGAACAGAATTCTTTCTCCGTAAACCGTGCATGTTGCAAGAGGCAACTAAAACGCCGGAAGGGGCTAGTAACCCCTTCTCCTATATACATTACACTAGTCAAAAAGAGACTTTTTATTTTTGGCCCACCCTGCTTCGGTGGGATATGTCCAGTTTGTTGAAAGAAGAAACATGCAAGGTTTCAGGTACGTCTTGCTACTTCTACTTACACCTATGTCACACTACACATGCATTTACAAGCATATATATATATATATACACACCCCTCTGGGTTTTCTTCTATTTTCTTGCTAGTTCTTGTTCTTGTTTATTTCCTCTTATCTCCATGGGGAAGTGGAACATAATTCTTCCTCCCTAAGCCATGCATGGTGTAAGAGGCGACTAACATGCTGGGAGCAAGGGGCTAGTAACCCCTTCATCTGTATACATTACTGAAGTGATGAAGAGAAACTTTTCTTTTTCTTTTTAGGCCACCCTGCCTCATTGGGATATGGCTGGTTTTTTGAAAGCAGAAAGAAGATTTAACACACTGCAGAATGGTATTACACTTACATAAATTCTAATAGGTGGTGTTTTTTTCCCTATGAACTAACATGAACACACACTAAATATCTCACAATTTATGGCTGAACTATCTCTAGCTTGCAGAGTGTATTGGAGGTGCATTTTTTTAAACCAGACAAAATATACCATTCTTCATGGGGAAGTAGAGCAGAATTCTTCTTCCATAAGCCATGATGTGTCGTAAGTGGCGACTAAAATGCTGGGAGCAAGGGGCTAGTAACCCCTTCTCCTGTATATAGTATTACATACTAATTTTAAAAGGAGAAACTTTCATTTTTCCTTCTGGACCACCCTGCCTCGGTGGGATACAACTGGTTTGTTTAAAGAAGAAAATATACTGTATTATTTGGTGTATCTTACAACTACCCATGTATTGATCCATAACCTGTTTCAATATAGAGTAAGAAATAGTATTAGACTGCCCGAAATGCCTAGGCATACTAGTGGCCTTCTTTGTAATAAATATTTTATAATATGCAATATTATTTTATAATATGCAAAACCCACATTGTAATATCAATAGAGAAATAAAGAATTTTAATTTTAATTTTTAATTAGACAAAAATGCACCATGACCACCACATTACTTTTATAACATCTGCCAATCCATAAAATATTACTGTTTGAACCATTAATTGTAATACAGCCTCTCCTCACTTAACGGCGGAGTTCTGTTCCTAAGACCATGTCGGTAAATGAATTCGTTGCTAAGTGCAGAGCATACTATAATGGTAGTGGGTTTGTGTCAATCATCTTTGATACTGTTTTAATGTCACCTTTGCACCATTTATAACATTTCTGGTATATTTTTAAATGTTTATACAGTAATGTACTGCATATTGTAATAAACAAAATAAGAGGAAATCAGTTTTAATTATTTAGGTATGCATACTGGTCAGAGAGCCCATCGTAAATCCGAGTCGTCGGTAAACGAGTACGTCACTAAGTGAGGAGAGGCTGTATTGTTTTTATGTGCAACTTCAAGATTATTATTCTTATAAACCTCCATCCTGACTACCTTGCATTAGTATTACGATAAAATAAAGATTTATTAAAAAGTTAACCATTCTTATCTTCTCTACACTTAAGTAGTTATTATGTACTAGGATTAGTTTGCCTGAAATGCCCTGGCATGACAGTGGCTTTCTTTGTACTTAACAAATCAAAATTGTAATTACACATTGTAACCAATGCAAAGAAATAAAATCTTTAATCTTTTTAATCTTCTTTTTAATATCAAGCCCTGATAGAATGATAACACCATGTTCCAAAACAAATAAACTTTGAAAAAAAAAAAAATTAGTGAATAATGTTGAATGAAAGTCTACAGTTTTAAAAGTGTCTACAATAATAAAATTAATACTGTATTCTTATTTGATAGGGTCCCTTTCCCAACATAATCAAGCATAATGGCTTTCACATTACAGTACTGTATCTGTAAATAAAAGTTAACAAGAGAAAAATCATAAGCTATCCCCCCAAAACAAAATTAGTGATGAAAACCTGAATGAGAATCCATCCCAATATCATAGTTTTACTTCAGTTTGCCTTAGAATAAAATTATTCATACATCTAGTGAAGATAGTGCAGTACCTTTGTGTAATTCTGTTGGGGAGATCTGTGCTGTCACCAAGTTATAATATAATGACTTTATCTTCATTAGGTCCTCATGAGTTCCTGATTCAACTATTTTCCCTTCACTGAATACAACAATTTTATCAGCAGTCTTAATGGTGGATAGTCGGTGAGCAACGATGACTGTTGTGCGACCTTGTCGAACCTAAAAGAAATTTATATACTGTATACAAAATTCATCCCCTTGAGCTTAATGATTAAATTCTTAAAACTCTTTAGATGATACTTCTTCACATGAGGAACATAAATGTTTACCTTAATACCAGTAAAGTAAAACAGCAACCAGTAGTTCTATAACACTAAATTGACTGATATGAAACAAGAAAATTAGGACTTACTGATGTACATGTGATGAACTCCCCTGTTCCATCTTCAGAAAATTTGAAAAATTCTACATTTATGCAAGTAAATAATAAGTTTAAAGATGTGCTAATATTAAAGGAGCAGCTAACATTAATTCTTACCTTATAAGATACAGAAACTCATTTATATTTGTTTAACCCTTTCAGCACCCAGAGGCCAAATCTCAGAGTGACAGCCAAAGTCCAAGAATTTAAAAAAAAAAAAAAAAAAAACTCACAGAATTAAAGATATTTTTCTATAGGTAATAAAACAAAAAAAAAATTCCAATCAGTAGTTTCCAAGATACAGAGGTGTGAAGTTGGCTCTCAATGACAGGGTGGCAGCAACATCCGCGACTTCCATAAAGTCGTATTTTTTTATTTTTCTGTTTCGTTCCTTTTTTCTTTTCTAATTTTGTTTTTCCAGTAATGTTTGTGGCTTGTGAGACCAATATAATGCATAATGCATATATGTACACTTGTTGTATTCAACACAATAACCGCTCTAATATTTTCATCATTATTTTGTTTACAATAATTGTTTACAACAAATAACATGCAAAAATGCTGTATATTAGTAATGTTCTATTATATATTTATATATGTAGTCACTGGACATGTTCTTAGAACTGCTACAGTCTGTGAAAGTTTTTGAAACAAGGTGTCATGCACAGTGGTGTCATACTCATCTGTGGACCAGTATGATTTTATATTATGCTTATAGACACGAGGCATAAGCATTATTGTTGCAAAAAAACAAATACATTTCAGCCACAGTCATCTACTTCCACCAGTGGATGATGATGCGCTTTGTCCTGCAAGTGATGAGTCAACGGCTTGGCTCCCAGACTCACTCCCAGTCTGGGCTGGTGCCGCATGCTTGCATGTTCGTGGCATCACCACTACCTACTGACGCATGTGGTCTATCCATCCCAACTATAGCCACATCACTGTCACTTTCACTGTCTATTCCAGGTGTAGGGCTACAGTATGTACTCAGTCCCTTTGGAATTTCATATGGTATAGGGTACCTATAGTGCATTATACCATATGGTATATTGTACCATATGGTACAGGGTACAGGGACCCTAATGGAAATAAGTCACTTTGTCTGACTCTTTTTGGTTATCCTAGGATCTTCACATATATGCTGCTATGTATGATAATCTATGTAACTATTTGTGTATACCTGAATAAACTTAAGCGCATGTGGCGTCGTAAGTAAGTTTATTCAGGTATACACAAATACAGTTACATAGATTATCATACATAGCAGCATATGTGTGGAGAACCTAGGATAACCCAAAAAAGTCAAAGTGACTTATTTCCATTAGGGTCCCTGTACCCTGTACTGGTGCAATGTACCATATGGTAAGATAAGATTTTCTTTGGATTTTTAATCCCGGAGGGTTAGCCACCCAGAAAGTTAGTGTGTCATCGAGGACTGTCTAACTTATTTCCATTGGGGTCCTCAATCTTGTCCCCCAGGATGCGACCCACACCAGTCGACTAACACTCGGGTACCTATTTGCTGCTAGGTGAACAGGACAACAGGTGTAAGAAAACACGTTGAAATGTTTCCACTCGCCGAGAATTGAACCCGGGCCCTCCCTGTGTGAAGCGAGAGCTTTAGCCACCAGGCCACCACAATATTGTACAATGTACCATATGGTTCTAAACCATAGAATTCCTCTTCAGATCCAATCCATCAGTGTTAGAACTATAACTTGGGAAGAGGAGAGTTAGAATTCACCGGGGAGTGAGAGCTTCCTTGCCGCCAGGCATGATGAACAAAGCATACCAAGATGGTGCTCCCACAATGCAATGCAGGTGCCCCGATTTTTTGTTTACTGCACACACTGACCACGCAGACCCACTCTCTTAGATGTAGGCCTACCAGCCTTCTTGCTCTAAATTTGAAGCCGCTAGAATTTTGGCATAGATCCACAGCTTGGACCCTGGCTTCAAAGCTGTAGATCTATAGGATGGACCCTGAAAGGGTTAATCTTTAGCCATTTTCTCACTAGGCAATGTGAACAAAAAAAATTTGCTCCCTTGTTCTCTAGCTGCCTTTCTAAAAGGGCAGAGAAGCTGCAATTCAATGCTCACTTACTAAGTGCACCTTCTCCAACATTTATCAATACTAGACAACACTACTAAATTAAGCAGTTTCCTAGAACACAATTTTTATCGACTAACCTTGTCTAGTGCTTGCTGGACGACAGCTTCACTCTGGTTATCAAGAGCTGATGTTGCCTCATCCAGAAGTAATATTCGTGGCTGGCGCACCAGAGCTCTGGCAATTGCAATGCGTTGCTTTTGACCTCCTGACATTTGGGCTCCACGTTCTCCAACATTTGTCTCATATTGCTGAATCACAAGGCATTTAATTGAAAGGCTACTGAAAGCTATAAGTCATGTGAAAAAAATGCTGTAATATACAGTATGGTACACGTACATGTTAATATATTGCTTGTCAACCACATTTTTGCACATGACAAATATGTAGTTGACATTTTATTAAACAATGGAAGAATCATGACACAAAAATTTAATGTTAGTTTTTAAATATGCTGAATTGCAAATGCATGTTAATTGAGAATAAATTGGAGCATCTACATATCACAGAGAATATGGAAGCAAATGTGAATAATCCTAGTACTTAAGGCTGAAATGCAAAACAAATCAACATATTATTGTGCCTACTATATATACAGAACATTAAACTCAAACATAAACCCTCTACTCAAACTTCTCTTAGACAGCTACAACAGAACACACAGGCATAACACGAGGCATGAAACACTTTTTGACATCCCTCATGTCTATCTCACACCATACAAAAATGCAATACACATGAAGGGTCCGAAGATCTGGAACTCTTTGCCCAAACCAGCAAGAGGTCCCCTGCCCACAAATCAATTTGGGACTATATGCACTTAAAAATCATATCTCTCAATAACCATACCCACACTATGCTAATCTCTAACAACTCTCCCAAATATTTTATTACGCCTAATCTATTTAACCATTATTACATACCTAAAAATGTGTGTTTGTATCATAAATTGTACTATTTGTAATACTGTTATGAATTTCATCTACATTAAACTATAAAGAATAAAATAGAATAATAAAGAATAGAGATTTTATTTCTTTGTAAAGGTTACAAGGTGTAATTACAATTTTAGTTTGCTAAGTACAAAGAAAGCCACTAACATGCCGGGGCATTTCGGGCAGACTAATGCTAGTACATAATAACTACTTAAATCTAGACAAGATAAGAGTGGTTAACCTTTATTAAAATATTTAATCTTAATACTAATGCGAGGTAGTCAAGGTAGAGGTTTATAAGAATAATTTTGAAGTTGCACATAATAAATTAATGATTCAAGCAGTAATATTTCATGGACTGGCAGATGTTTAATAGACTAGAGGTCATATAATGTAACTGATTAGAAGTTGTTTTGGTTGGTTTTGTTAGTATACTGAGAGATGAGATGATTTTTAAGCAAAGTCCTAAATTTATTAGTAGTCAGGAGATCCTTTACTGGTTCAGGTAGTGAATTCCAGATCTTTGGGCCCTTTATGTTCATTGCATTTCTGCATAGTGTGCAACTGACATGAGAGGTGTCGAAGAGTGCCCTATGCCTTGTATTGTGACTGTGCATCTGTTGTAGTCATTAAGGAGAAGTTTAAGTGGAGGGTTTATATTGGAGTTTAATGTTCTGTATATGTAGTAGGTACAATAATATGAGTGTATGTCTCATATATGTATTTAGAAAGTTCAGGTTTTTGAAAAGTGGTGGGGTGTGCTGCCTAGCACAGGAGCTGGTAATCATCTGCACAGCAGCTTTTTGTTGGGTTATTAAAGGTTTAAGGTGGTTGGCTGTGGTTAATCCCCAGGCACAAATACAATAGGTTAGGTAGGGATATATTAAAGAGTGGTATAGGGTAAGGAGTGTCGTTTGGGGTACATAGTATCGTATCTTGGAAAGGATGCCTACTGATTTGGAAATTTTCTTGGATATATTCTGGATGTGGGAATGAAATTTAAGATTACAGTCAAGGAGAAGACCTAGAAATTTACCCTCAGTGTGTCTTGAAATAAGGAAACCATTTATTGATATACACATATTCAGTTGGATATTTAAGGCTCTGTTTCCAAGCAGCATGAAGTATGTTTTGTCTATATCGAGAGAGAGTTTGTTGGTCATCATCCAAGTACCTTTTAGCAGCTCATTGTTTACAGTGCTTCTCAGTACAGCTGGGTTTGAGTGGAAGTAGATATAAGCAGTTTCATCTGCAAACAGAACTGGTTTAAGGAGTTGGGATGCACTGGGGAGATCATTAATGTATAAAGTAAAAGGACAAGTGCAACTAATGTGACATTTTATTGTGGCCACAATAAAATGTCACATTAGTTGCACTTGTTTCCTTTTACTTTACATATTGTTGGTAATTCTACTAACATATATACATCATCAATGTAGATGAGAAAGAGGAGTGGGCCTAGGACACTACCTTGGGGCACTCCGACAGCTACAGGCTAGATAGAGGAGTTGACTCCATATGCATCTACATACTGGTGTCTATCGTTAAGATAAGATTTTAGGTAATCAAGGGAATGTCCTCAAATGCCATAATGATTTAGTTTTAGGTGAAGGAGATTGTGGTCCACTGTATCAAATGCATTCCGTAGGTCAATGAAGAGCCCCAGAGGATATTCATTTTTACCGAGGGCTGTATATATTAGTTCAAGGATTTGTATGTTAGCATCATTCGTACTTTTTTTTGGTCTAAACCCAAACTGGCAGGGGTTAAGTATGTTGTTGGATGTAAGGTAGGAGTAAAATCATTTGTGTATTATTTTTTCAAATATTTTAGAAAGTAAGGGCAAGTTTGATACAGGTCTATAGTTGTTCAATTCAGTTGGATCACCTCCTCTGAGGATCGAAGTAACCCTTGCTGTCTTGAGGAGGGAGGGAAGGTTGAGAACTCTACAGAGTTGTTAAAGTGTTGCAATAATGGGTGAGAGTACATGAGCAGCTTTTTATATATGAATGGTGGCAAGTTATCTAGATCTCCTGCTTAGTTTTTTAATGATTTAATGATAAGCGAGATTTCAGTAGAATTAGTTGGAGTTAGATATAGAGTATTTGGGTAATTGCCAGTGAGGTAGTCTTTTGTCTGGGTATCTGAGCTAGGAATTTTGCTTGCTAGCTTTGATTCTACAGAAGAGAAGACATAAAATTTGTTGGTTGTGTTTATAGGCTGTATGTGAGGCTCATCTGGTTTTGTTAAGTTTATCTCTCTGTTTCTAGACAATTTTCTAGAGCCCAAAATTTTGAAGAGGGTTTGGCAGATCCTTTTCATATCACCTTTTATTTCAATAAATCTATTTTTGTAATACATTTGCTTCGATTTTCGTATTAGTTTTGCGAGTATTAATGTGTATTGTTTAGCCAGTTCTTTAGTAATCAGGCCTAATCTGAACAGTTTTCAAGTTGGTGCTTTTTATCAATGAATTTGAGGATACTATTTGTTAGCCATGGTCTGTTTAGTCTCTTTGCTGTGATATGCTTTGTTTTGATCAGACAATGCATGTTATAGAGGTTTTGGGTTTTATGTACAAAAGTGTTTACATCTTTGTCAATATTATTGCTGTTAGCTAGCTCTCTCTACCAATCAATGTCAGCTAGTGCTAATATTAAATTTACTGATGGCTCATAATACAGGCAAAATGACATCTTTCTCAAGTCTTGAGGCAATTTACATAAGTTGGTTATGAGAAAGGTGGGGTAGTGGTCTGTAGTGCTGTGTGTGATTATACTACAGGGCCCCACTTATATGGCAGGTTATGTTACAGGCTACTGCCGGAAAGCTGACATCGCCAGAAAGCAGAACGCCATTTTTTTCCACTTATAAATGCATATAAATGCCAGATAACAAGTTTACACTAACATATATTAAGTTAGCAACAGAACTAGGCATTAAAAACAATAAAAAATAAAATACACACACAGTACACTCATTATTTACCTCAAAATATTTGTAGTCTTAATGTAGGGCAAAAGGTGAGTAGTATTTACTGTAAGAAGTCAGGTGTGGTAGCCTTCCTGGCCATCTCACCCTCACATAATATACCATGATGCTGAAAGTGCCCTAGTGATAAAATGCATATACAGTACACTCATTGCTTACCTTAAAATATTTGTAGTCTTAATTAATGTAGGGTGAGAGGTGAAAAGTATTTATTTGTAGAAGTCGTGTAGGAGGACATCAACCAAATCTTTGAATGGGCCACTCAAAACAATATGAAGTTTGAGGAGAAATTTCAACTACTCAGATATGGGAAACCTGAAGAAATTAAAAATGTGTCAGGGTACACAACAAATTCTAACCATACAATAGAGTGGAAAAGTAATGTGAAGGACCTGGGAGTGATAATGTCAGAGGATCTCGCCTTCAAAGACCACAACAATGTATCTACTTCATCTGCAAGGAAAATGATAGGATGGATAATGAGAACCTTCAAAACTAGGGACGTCAAGCCCATGATGATTCTCTTAAAATCGCTTGTGCTCTCTAGGCTGGAATACAGCTGTACACTAATGGCCCCCTTCAAGGCTGGTGACATTGCAGACCTGGAGAGTGTACAAAGAACTTTCATGGCACACATAAGTACGATAAGACACCTACACTACTGGGAATGGTTGAAGGTCCTTGATCTGTATTCCCTCGAACGCAGGCGAGAGAGATACAAGATAATATACACTTTGAAGGTCCTGGTATCAAACCTGCACACGAAAATCACTCCCTATGAAAGCAAAAGACTAGGCAGGAGATGCAACATTTCCCTGATGAAAAGCAGGGGTGCCACGAGTACACTGAGAGACAACACAATAAGTGTCCGGGGCCCAAGACTGTTCAATTGCCTCCCAGCATACATAAGGGGGATTACCAATAGACCCCTGGCTGTCTTCAAGAAGACACTGGACAGGCACCTAAAGTCAGTACCTGACCAACCAAGCTGTGGATCGTACATCAGCTTGCATGCAGCCAGCAGTAACAGCCTGGTTGATCAGACCCTGATCCACCATGAGGCCTGGTCTCAGACCGGGCCACGGGGGTGTTGATCCCCGAAACCCTCTCCAGGTAAACTCCAAGCAGGGAATCCCGCCTGGCCATCCCACCTACTTACGTAAACAAATGGATAACGTCTGGTTATCGTTTATACACATTCATATAAACACCTTACATTGTGTACAATGTGAATAGCTATAGATATAATGAAGGCATACGAAAGGAATAAATTTCTAGTTAAGTTACTGGTGTCTGACTAAAGAAAACATAATTCTTCCAACTCT